TTTATGCTCAAACAGCAACATTACACACTAACTAACATTAAAAAAGTGAAATCGCAATCAACCACCCCTTTAAGTGCTTTTGGACTGACGCATGCTACACCCATTGAGTGCCATGAAACAGCTTGAAAGATCAAAGATATATTTTTGATATAACTCCGACTGGATTCGTCTGAAAGAGGAAAGTCATATACACCTAGGATGACTTGAGGGTGAGTAATTTATGGGCTAATTTTCATTTTTGGGCGAACTAACCCTTTAAGAAATGTTTAACTTTATGCAAATGAAGCGAATTTCGTGAGCGACAACCAATAGGAGTGAAGAATCTGTCAGCGGCGCTCACACGTCACCGCCTCGAGTGCAGGCAAGACAGGACAGATTTCCGGAGCAATTTCACTGTTTTATATGATTTGACTGTAACCACATACATGGATATAAAAAAAAATGATGCGTAGAAAAGAAACTGTTTGCTGTCTAAGTGAGTTCGATTCATACATTGATGGTTCGAGTTGTTAATTATATGATGCAGTGAGCAGTTTAGCACCGGTTAATGATTTAATAATGCACGAGCACTGCTGTAGTTTATATAACAACTCTCTCCAACAGCAGAATGGTACTTTTATTTCTATTAAGTCTAATTCCTAGTCATATTAGAAGGATATCTTAGTTTTACCGGCAATATATATAGTTTGTGATTGCATTTTCTAAAGATATGTCAAGACGTGCAGTCTACCAATAACATTAGAGCGACAGCAGTAGGAACGCCCACAGGCGCTTCACAGCACAGAGTCTAGCGACATACAGCGAAAAAGTCGCTAGCAGTGCGAACGGGGCTTGAACGGGGCTTTAGGCCTGCCCTACACCGTGTCTACGGCCGCGAGCGGCGCGACGCACAAAATAATTACCTATTCTATATTATGTCTACACTGGATGCGGCGCGACGCGACAGACAAATCCCCGACACTCGTTCTATTTATGACGTACTGACACAAAGTTCAAATGATTTTCAACGGTCGCTTTGTCGCGTCCAGTGTTGTCATTACCGTTTGTTACTACAGCCTGCAGTTTGCTAGCTAGCTATGCCTTCCTCACGTTGATTCATATTACCTGTTCCTGTTGTATGGCTGTTGAAAATCCAATTAAGCTGAAGAGGAATCATCCATTCTGGTTGTATCGGTGTGTGTGACAGTGGGAGAGAGAGGCGGCAGCTTTCTCGCGAGTGGGCGTGGTTTCAGCGCAGACTTCTGAGACGCACTTATTTTGTCAGGATTTTGACAACTTATTTTATTTACTTGGCGTTTTTTTATCATTCAAATTTGGGTGGTTTAATAACACATTTTTCTGTGGAGTGACAAACTCAGAACACATATTTAATATTGCTTTACACGGACTTTAAAACATCGCCAAGAAACATACGGACTGGATCAAAACATAAGTGGAGCGGAGTGTATCCTCTCAACGCGTTATGTAATAACTCCATCACTTGAACTCCAGATTTTCTATTTGCCGCTCCCAGCAGACAATGAGAAAACCATCTATTAAAGGGTTAGTTCACCCAAAAATTAAAATTAGCCTGTGTTTTACTCACCCTCGAAGCATCCTAGGTGTATGCGACTTTCTTCTTTCAGACGAATCCAATCGGAGTTATATTAAAAAAAGGCTTGGAGGGGCCAGGAACATTTTTAATATAATATACTCTGATTGGATTCGTCTGAAAGAAGAAAGTCGCATACACCTAGGATGCTTCGAGGGTGAGTAAAACACTAATTTTCATTTTAGGGTGAACTAACCCTTTAACGAAAATACTGGACCAAACACGTTCTGTATTAATTGGATAAGAGACTGATGATTTTTTTTTTTTTTTACCATTTTTTACCATTTTTGTGTTCAGGTTTTTGGGCAGGCCTGAATTGCTTTTCTTATTTTTTATTAAAGTATTGAGATAACTTTGTGTTCAGGTATTTCATAGAATAGGACATGGAGACTGCAGTCATGTGATGTTTTATGATCTTTCACCGATTGATGGCGCCACAGCGTTTCAAATGTGGCACAAGCAGTTGGTTTGGGATGCCAGACACAAGTGATATGTGAAATATTCAACAAAAGACAAGAATACCTCAGGCATCGTTTGAAAGGGTTTATTCATTTTTCATTGATGAAACATTACAACTACTAAAATGAAAACAAACATTTGTTTCCTTTTACAAAAAAGCAGGTAGCCCTTTAAAATCTAACAAAAAAAAAAAAACAGACAGTCCTACCAAGACAATCCATATTCAGCAAGTCTGAATGTTCAGTCTAAAGCCTTTAACATTACTAGCACAGGACATATTCCACAAGAACATGACATCTGCTACATTGTCTAGTCCTCAGTCCACAAACATAGCACAACACTGTGTGGCATGCAAATGTATGAGCCCCTCTCTGCTGTTTTATAACACAAGCCTGACTTTTTCTCCATCACTTACATTTAAACTACATGCTAAGCTTATTTCGCACTAACATTATACAAAAAGACAAAAACAATGCTCAAGTACTGTTACAAAGATCTGCTTGCACTCACTCATGTAGGTACATCAGTGCAATTTACCCCTGAATGATTTTGGTTTTGCCAATTAAAGCATGCAGCTCCATTAAACAGAAAACATATTCTTTATGATAAAAAAAAGTCTGAAGGATGACCCAAGTTGCTAACTTATTTATGTTTCCATCTGCTGATAGAAGTTCTTAGCTCTTTTGAGTCATGTAAGATGTGTACACGTGCATAGATGGCTATCAGAGTTGCATTTGTGAGGAAGGAGGTTGATTTTTCTCCTTTGCACACTCTGAGAATATTATGTCTTATGACCTTCTTCTGTCATGGGAAAGCATTTGGGGTGGGTGCGCGGCTTCTAGGGACGTCAATTTTCTCCGTCTAACGAATTTCCACCTGTGTGCCAATGCTCCACAGTTTATTACCTCGGACCAGAGTAGGTGACAGAATAGGTGTAGCAGTGTGACAACTCTAGCTGTGAATCAAGACTTCCGCACAGCCAGCCAGCCAATCAATCAGTACATCTACAGGATGTTCTCTATTAGTTAATTTGAAGCTTGGGCCAAACGTCTACCTGTTCTCTATGCTAGCAGAGAAAAAACAGTAGGCCCAGATCAACCCAAATCTCACTGCAGACACTAAAGCACTTTAACTTTAATGTATTCTGCATTCAGAAATACTCCAGAGAGGATGTGGATTGCGCTGTCATCCACTACCATACAGACTGCAGTCCACTGCAGTAAAGGGTGTAAGCCTCCTCTGCATCCTGGTTCAGCAGAAATCTTCAGGTTTCCTTTATCATCACTTCTCACAGCTTCTAGAGTGCCAGTGATTGTACATGCTTGCTGAAATCTGCAAAACACCTCACTATCCTGCCAGAGGAAGACATTATTTTTGTGCCTCATTTCTTCAGTGATCTATATTTAGGAGGTAGGATATTTGCCATTTTACTTGATTTGGCAGGGCATATGGTGAGAAAATTGCAATGCAGTTATATATAGTATGCATGCTGCGATATACCTATCTTGGCAAATGTGCTAAGAAGTTTGAAATGAAATAAGTCAGCATGATTTAATGAAGTCCAAGATAACAGCTAAGGATCTCCAGGTATCTCTTGGCCTTGTTCATACATCCACCATGGAATAAAACGGTGAACTGGAGAGGTGTACTATATGGAAGGACAGTCACACAGCAGAACAGAAGCGCAGTGCCGCATTGCGTTTAGGACAACTCACTGGTAAATAGTTAACCTAGTCACCAAACAGGCAAGAATTCACTTCAAGAATGGTGGTCAACAAAGTGGCATCCTTGAGTTTAAAGTTTGGTGCTTGAAAAAAATAGAGCAAATGGAAAGAGAAAGGGCATTATATCTCTCTATATGAAGCATACAGACTTTATCAAACTCACAGAAAGACAAACATTTGCTAAAAAATGCACAATACAGTCTTCCAGTATACACAGCCTCAGTCGTAGCTAATTGGCGCCGCTGGTGTATGTACACTCATAGAAAAACATATGTTCAAATTTTAAAGACACGGCGTGGCACTTCTTTTCCAGTGTGCGACCCCCTTATGGACAAACCCATTTTGCTATTCAAAGAGCTGTTCCAACCACATTGTAGGAATATTATTGACACTTTTGCAGGGTCTGTGTAAGGTGGCCCAATGAATTACTACAAATGGAATTGGAGAATGGTAAGGTTTCTGTCTGTGAGCTGCAGCATATGATTAATAAGGTTTATGAAGTGAAATGTTGTGGCAGGATCTGAAGCCTGCAGCTCCTTCAATATTAATGTCCTGAAGCAGTTTTGCAAAAAGGAAACTGGCCAACGAGTAACAGGACAGGGATTATTTTAAAGTCAGTGCTTCTGAGAAAGCGCAGATAAACTGTTTCTCCATTGTTGTTTTGTTTTGAATTGATACTATATCATAGGGAAAGATCAGTTCATATTTTAGGTCAAATTTGACAAGCAGTACAGATAATTCCAACGGGTTAACAAACTTTCACTCATCATTATTTCTGAACGATAAGTACATCCTTCATAATAGCTGTTTCCAAGCAACAGTTAAAAACTGTCACACTTGCACCCACGGCATCTGAATTTAAATCTGAGCAAGAAGGGGAAACAAATTATACTGTGTTTGAGACAGATGCAATATCTTACTCCGACCCTGACAGACTTTGGTAAGATGAAAAAAAAATCCTTATCTGCTTCCATTTTTCCTGTTTGTTAGAGTACACTGGAGAAAAGTGAAATCAGTAGTACCTAAGGTAATCCATCAGATGAATGCATCAGTTACAGAGGCCCCTAGGTGGTAATATGCCAGCCATTTTGATTAACAGTTTGTCCCCAAAGCTCCATCCTTGTGGTACAGCAAAGCTGGCGTTCAATACTGACTTAGAACCAGTTAAAATCAGATAATTAAGACTCTGATAAAACAAACTGGTCCTAAATAAGCATAAATTCAAAAAAGGCTACATATCTGTCACATGACATTACAGCGGTTCCTCTGCAATGCCCCGTGGAGACGGATAGAGGTGTGGTTCGGACGCAGTCCTCGTGCCACGGCTATTCCCAGGAGCTCTTTGAAGAGCAGAAGCACATGCCAGTTATACTTAGCAGAGCACTCAACATAGCCGCACTTCCAGGTTTTCTTCACCAGGACAGACACGGCCCTGCGCTGGGTAAACCGATGCCGCTGAAGGTCCCGCTTACTGCCCACCACCAGGATGGGCACCTCACTACTGCTGCCCACTCTTATGGAACGACACAGAAAGAGACGAGAGAGGGAAGGTAGGTGAGATGGCAGGGGAGAAGAGCAATAAAAAAAGAGGTTTAAGAGGGAATTAGCAAGTAAAACAAAGTGACCCCATGAGAATCGATCCATTTCCTAGGTGACATTTATGCTGGACATAATATTTGTTCATGTTTGCACGATAACATCTTCAGCAAACATGCAAAGACACACACACAAACATGAAAAGCCCCTCAGCTCCTTGACACGCTCTAAAAAAAATGGCACTGAGCTCATAATGTGTGCTGGAGAATGCATGATGTGTGTCCTTTCTCAGCGCTTGACTGTGCTTGAAGGTCACACACACACACACACACACACACACACACAATGAAGAATGAAAGCGTTTCATGTTCAGGGGGCTTCAATGGCAAGTGTGTGTGTGTGTGTGTGCATTTTGCTAATCTGAAAAAAGTGCAATAAATTTAATTGCCAATTCACTGTTGCACAAGGAGCTCAAATTAAAATGCAAGGTTTCATTTATTTGCTTAGAAAATGTCAAGTGTAACATAGCCTGCTTGAATATGTAGCTATTAAATAAATGTCTGGCCAATTAATAAAGTATTGACTATCTTTACATAATAGCTAATTACCAAGGGCTCCATGCATATACAAATTACATATCATAAATATTTAAAACCTTTATTTTAACACGTTCAATTTAATTGAGGACCCAAGGGTATTCCATATTATTCATTTGAATATTAAAAAGCATACTACTGCTCTTATTCTGATTCTACTCATTTCAAATCTGTCAGATATTGAGGATTTATGCTATTATATATGTGTGTTCAGTATAGACAGAGAGAAAGAAAAGAATTTGCAAGTAATCTGTCAAAGACACCAATGTCATTGTGTTTAATAAGCCTACACCAATCCCTCATTCCTGTGTCTGGGTGCTTGTGTCATGTTTTACACTGATTTATCCCCGTTTCATATAGTTTATCTGTGCTCTTTCAGTATGGCTTCCCCCCGTCTCCCCTCTCACTATCTCTTAAACCTTTCAAGTCCATGTTTAGTCAAAGAACGTTTGTAAAATTTTCTTCTATACCACAGCTGCTTCTTTTATCACCCCCTCTGCATGTGTATTCAATATTCTACCACATCAAACATCCCCATGCAATCTCTATATATTTAACTGAATACAGTGATCATTAAAATCTTATTCTCTAAAGGACTTTTTGCACTTAGACTGAGGCGTCCTCAAAGCAGTGAAAACGTGAGCAGCATTTGTAAAACAGAAGTGTGATATTGTGGGTGGGGAAAAGGGCTAAAGGTGGAGACTGCAGATCATTTTCTGTCATTCCTTCTGTTCACATAAGACCTTTATGCAAATACATGATGCTGCACGCAATCTATGGTGCACAAGACCTGCATATGTAAAAGGATTTTCTCAAAGGCACCTATTATATTCTTATCAGCTGTAGTAAATGGTGAGCTATGCTCTGTAACTGTCACTCATCCATATTCTCAAATGTCACCTCATTATCTCAGCATCAGCTGGGGAAACAAGGGCCAACTGTTATTAAAAACATCAAAACCATTTAGTAGCTTATCAGTGCAGCTGATACAGTTACATTAATCAGTGCTGATGTGCGTCGTACTGCTACTGAGCTGTTTCATGACCACGGTTTGTCCCATTCTAACAATAATAGAAGGAATGTCAAACATTTGCTTTTGTTTGGATCTATTATAACATGATAATGATTCACTATTATTCTTTGAGGTGGGTCATTTCAGGTTCTGAATGAGCTCTGTCGTACCGGTTATCCACAATTTGCTGTCGGATCATCTTGACATACTCAAAGCTCTCCACACAGCAGATGTCATAGACCAGAATGTAGGCGTTTGCGCTGCGGACCCCTCTACACCGCGCATGCAGCCACTCCTGATAGAAACAAAGAGACAGACAGACAAAAACAGATGACCACTGATTGATTGCTTGACAAAGCCAACGTACAATTCATTTATGAAAATAACTTCCAATCAAACATAAAAACATTATTACAACATTGCACAATGTTGCATTTTGGTTGTAGTTTAGGTCATGTGGCGGTACGAAAACATTTAAAGGTCAAGAAACCATGACTGTGATCAAACAAGTGCAGCCGATGTGTACTTTACAGATTTAAAGGGGTCATATGATGCAATTTCAATTTTTCCTTTCTCTTTGGACTGTTACAAGCTCTTGGTGCATAAAGAAGATCTGTAAAGTTGCAAAGACTAAAGTCTCAAATCCAAAGAGATATTCTTTATAAAAGTTAAGAGTCAGCCACGCCCACCTAAAACGGCTCGTTCTAACACACCCCCACATACCTACGTCGCTCTGTGGGAAGATTTGCATAATGCTGCCCAAATGTTCACACAAAGAAAGAAGGCGTAACTTTTATTCTCGCTGTAGTTTTGTTGTTTCCGCTGCCATGTCGTAAAGACGCTGTGTACTTCGTTGTAAAAGCGAAACTACTTTGTTTGGCCTTCCAAAAGAGGACGATATCTGCTTCGTCATGCCTGGAGCTGATCCGTGCTGGTTGCTGAGGAAATACTACAACTTTGCACTGTGGATCGCCGGATCGGCTTTCAC